GTTTGTGTAAATATTTATAACTCAATCGCATTTTACATTCCAAACTGAAATGATCTTAGGGCCAGTAATGATTGTCTACATTTTTTAATGTGGAGTTTTCTCTGAGAGGATAAAGGCAAAAAACTTAAACATCGATTTTCATGATGAATTAAGGTACCTTCTGTTTTCATGTCGCAGTAAGCGAATACAATCTTTTCAGGTATGATGGAGAAAATCCAGTATCTCGCACTGACCGCTTGCCCTCCTTCACTTGTTTTAATCTCTTTACACGTTTCAGCCGGAAGTTCTGGAACGGACCCGAGAGGCACTGAAAAACAACGGATTGTTTCTTGTTTACATATATCACTTATCATTCCGTAATACATTCTTAATTCTTGATTTTCTTTTTTCTAATTTAACATTAAGGTCTCACCTCTCTTCATGTCTTTTCTGAAATAATATCGTTCAAAGTTTGGTACAAAATCTTCTGGTCTGGCTTCCTTAGTACGGTTGCTCAATTCGCAAATGTCTTCGGTAAAGACGTAGTTAAAACTCTGGCATCTGATGTCTTGGTAACATTCCCGTAAACACACATCACCGAAAGCCGCTTTTGTGATATTCTTGAAGATGTGTCCTTGCAGCATCATACCCAAGATCGACACCTCTCCTTTTGCGCTGCTATGTTGAGAACTTGCATCTAAGAATATTGGACTTACAACGATCAGCACTAGCAGAGTAAGGGCCATCTTGCTTCACTCATTGGCTCGACGACACCTAATGGCGATAAGAGTACTAGTAGATTGGACAGATGGAAAATTTTGCTAAGTCGCTGAGACTTTTCAAAGATTATTTATTGTTTGCGAAAAATCCAGCGGGCGCCAACAGTTGCTTAAAGCCATATAAAACAATCCTTTTCCAAGTTGAGACTAATAAAAGACCTTCGGGAGATCGCAACGTTGACCTGTCCAAATAAAAGATCTACTTCACAGAACAATACCCCAGCTCCTGCGTTGTTTTTTTCTTACCCTTTGAAAAAGAACAACATGAAATTATGACATTTGCGTGGTCTGAGAACCAAAGCACAGAAGGTGAATTATTTTAGTTTCTATTTAAAAGGGGGTTGGCTCGGTTGAGGTTGAGGTTTGCCGCCTTGAGAGACAGGTGACGCATCCAGCCACTCGCTAAAAGTATAAAATCAATTCTACGATCAAAGGTACTCACAAGGTAAGGTCCCTCTGGACGAAACTAACCGTCCATGAAAGGTACTTAAAGAAGGAAACAAAAACTAACATAAAAACCAAAAGAGTTATCGTCCTCTAAATCCAGGGAATTATCAAGAGCACGCTTGTCGACGTAAGCGTAACAATATACATACATAATCCTAATTCTAGCTTACTCCCGTCAATGCCAAAAAAACAATTTCTTAGAGCTTAACCCTTTATAAATAAGATAAATTAAATGGAGTGTGAGTAGAATTTGACAAACACTTGAATCTGCTGCTTTAAATAACATGAATTTACATTTCGTTAAAGCCAAAAGGTTTTACCGACGAACTACTAAAAAAAACAGGCTTACCAGTAATAAATGTCTTCTCCCCAGAAGAACTGCTTCTTTCTTTTGCTATGCGCTCTCTTTGGTTATCAGATATGAAATAGGTCTTGGGTATCGACAAGCTGGTGTTTAAAACATGGCTGAAAAGATGTATTTCGAACAAGTTTAAGTAGACAAGCGTTGTTTAAGCTAATTTCGCTGCTTTTGACGTTGTTGCGTAGACAAACAGAAAATATATCACATTACATAATTTTTTTTGTTGAGTAAAGTTGGATAAGAACATCAAAACTTCTTAGTTGTATAGGCATAAGTACGAGGGAAGTTATGATATTACACGTATAAGTAAGAACACAGATAGGAATGCTCTGGTTCCTTCTCCAAGTTGATAAAATGAAAATCAGTTTATCTCATTGATTATACTAAGCAACCAAATTGAATGAACTTGTTTGCTTAATTTTACTGTTATTCAATATCTTAAGACACGAATCTTCAAATTAAGAACCACCTTCTTTCTTTTCCATGCTTTGACAGCAATTAACCACAAATACGGTAATAAAAATAAATACATGAAGACCATTATATAGGTAAATAGGAACAATTTTTGGGCTGTCGTCCATCTTCAGTGAGAATTCCGCGGAGCTTAGCATACATTTAAACATTTCATATTACATTTTTTTTCTAAAAGTTAAGGAAATAACAGATGTTTAAAAGTTGGACACCAGAAACTATTACTTAAACGTTGATCATAACATAACATAACATACTTTGTTGACTTTCCTCAAGGGGGCTTTTCAAAGACAATAATAATAATAATAATAATAATAATCATAATGTTTCATTCTGCTCTCTCGCCAGGAAAACACTTCCTCAACATTTTATTTGAAACATTTGGAAACCTGTCTTTCAAAACTTCACGTCAGAAAGCAATCTATTTTTGTAAGTTTGAGCCGTGAAAGCAAGTGATGCATAAGCATGCAATAAAAATATGAACCTGCCGTGTTCTTTTCCGATATTTATCCTGCACTGGTCTCCTGCTTCTTAAAATGAATGGGGGAGTCTTTCTTTCAGAATTACTGACAACTTCCTGTTTATTGCCTAAGGTTATGAGGAAAAGTCCACATCTTAAATTAACGTTATTTACAACACCTTTTTAACAGATGAAACAACAGCACATGACTTATTTTTTCATTAAGATAATTTGGTTTCATTCTCTGAGTTGTTAATGTAGATTGGTCTCCATAAAGAGTTTTAAAGCTGACATTCGAGCATTTCATTGCTTCTAAAATTTGTTTTTCTAAGTATTTCTTCCACCTAACCGCAAATTGAAATAAATATGCTGCTCAAATGGTGACTGTAATTCAATATCTTAAAACACCAATCTCTAGCTTAAGAACCGCTTTCATGTTTTAACAGCAAAAACCGAAAATCCGATAACAAAAAGAAATATATGTAGATAAATAGCAACAATTCTTTGGTTGTGTTCCATCATTAATGTGAATATAATCTTTTACAATTTTGCTGAGTTCAGCTTACATTTGAACATTTTACATTTCATTTGCAATTATTGCCTTTAAAGTAGGGAAATAAGAGAAGTTAAAAGCCTGCCGTTTTAACGTTGATCAAAATTTTTCTGCTTTTGTTTTCATTACACCTAAACACCACCTGTAAGGAGAAGATTAAAGAAATCTTTCCCGCAGGTTCCATTACCTGTCAAACAGTAACAGAAGAACTACAGGAAGAGGGAATACTGTCCTTAGATAGCAAAATATTTTTCGTTAGGCGCACTCCGTTTGAATGTTTATGTCGCAATAATGATTGCAATGTTTGTCGCGTAAAATGTTTAATTTAAGAGAGGATGTCAGCATCCATCGAACAAATCTGTAATATTTTGGCAAGTCACCCAAAATTCGTTTTCACTCCTACATTCATGTTTTGTAGCCCAATATGTCCTAATAATTTTAGTGTAGTTTTTTTGTGAAAATATATTTTAGTTTTCGAGAATTAATTATTTTCGTTCGACCACTCAAATATGCAAATTTTAACCGTGAATATTACCCGAGTTGTGTGACCTCCTATAACGAATATACCTGACCTCCGGTAATTATGTCAACATAATCCGTTGTTTTATCATCTAAACTTAATCCCCTGTCGTTATTGAAGCTGGCAAAGGAACATCTATTTTTTGGTGAATATTTTTGGCCGAAATACTTTTCCTGTGTCGAAAAGTAGCATAAAAGAAGACAGTTTTAACGATGACCGATATGACAGAGTCTACTGAATTTCTAGCTTTTAAAAGACAAAAGGACGGTTACAAAGTAAAAAAATTTCCTTGTGTATTTATGTATTTCTATCCTGAGACGAACTCAAAGTCCGGCAAAATTTACTTGCTAGCGACTATAAAATATACACGGTCTGCTTACTTGCCGCCACCGAATTTATACGAAACGAGTCATTTCTGAATTAGTTTATGGGAATTTTCATTGCAGAACGAAACACTCATTCTGGACGACCTTTTGTACCTGTATAATGTGAACGCGGTACGACACTCATATCTGTTTGAATCCTCTTTAAGAGGGGGGGAAGCATAGAAAGGTACAGAAAAGGAGATAAATATTTGTCATTTCTCACCCTCTGAGTCAACCTTGTCGCGTATCTTTTTATCTTTAGATGCACCTCCCACGAGGTTTTTCGCGGGTGATTCCATGATAGCCAATCATAAGAGAGCTGTGGTCGTCTATTGTTTCCGTCACATGCAGGCCGCACGAAAGGATCTCAATAACGGCGAAATGAGCGGAAAGTTTATCCGACGAAAGTTCTGATATCTATCAGGCAACCTCCCGCCATTTTTTAAGGTGTTATGCAAACGTCAGCGTGTTTTCGCGGGAAATTAAAGAACTCCCCACACATATCTTAGTTCTAAAAATAAAAACATACGGGTCAGGGTTGACCCAAGGGTACAATTCGTATGGAGGCTCCGAATGATGGGCTCCTGGTATTACTCACATTTTTTTTACATTAATTACCGAGCAAATTTCAAGTAATAATTTCAGGGAGTAAAAAGCAACAACGAAAGGATTTCTATCAAAGCGAGGTGCCATTTTCAGTCCTACCATGTCGGACACCTTGAATAAAGGGTGACACGCAAGCAGTTTCCTGCAGCTTTGACATAAAATAATTTTGATGCCTCTTTGAAAAGAAAGAAAAGCTTGAACAGCAGATATCGCAAGATCTTTGGCTCGAGTTCTGGATGCACTTAAATAGTCTGTTTAACAAATACAAACGTACAGTTATTTTAATCCCTACTAAATAATGTCAAGACGAACAAAACTTTAAAAGTATAGCCGTCCTCCCTCGAAGCAGGACAGATTTTGTCAAGCATAAAAATCTGACAGATCAGTGCCTAAAAGTTTTTATAATTAATGAATCAGTTCGCGTAAATTTTACGAAGTAACATTGACAAATCACATTTTTTGTTTTTAGGTGCTGACGGGGGAGGGGAAGGGGGAGGCGATCGGAAATGGGTAAAGATGCTTGTCGTACCTCTAAGGGGTCAAAATCAGCGGTCTGGTAACTTTCATGGTCTCTCAAACTTAAGTGAACTTCCAGAGACCTAGCTGATACCTTTTAGAGTGTTTTTCATTCGAAAAATTAAATGAAATAAGCATTAACAGGACCATTTTATGATCTGACTTCCGGCTCTAGAGTACGTCGATAAAAGAGTTTTTATTTTTAGGATTTTTTAAGTTTTTGTGTTTGAATTGGTACATTTTAAGGGTAGACATAAATTGTAACTACTCCCATACGGATAAGACTCAGGTAGCTTTAATAATTTTATAGGCGTCGTTTTCGAAATTCCCGGCGCGCATCCCCGCCCTCTTACCGTATTTCTTCACCTATAAGCCGAGGCCCTACAAGTTAGAGACCTTCCAAAAGACTCGTGTTGTCCAAAGAGCGAAATTCTTCATTGTAACCGGCCATTTGAGTGAGCGAACCTCACGGAATAAATTGGGAAATGGCTCACCGAACACAAAACCTAATGAATGAGAATAAATACAAAAGAAAAAAAAGGGAATCAGTGAAGATTTAAATACTATTACGCGACTGAAGAAACACAACAATGCCCTCAGTTAC